TTATTTAATTTCAGGTAAGGTCGGTTTGTCAAACCACGCCATGCCTTCCTTTATTTTTTCCTTCCTAAACGACGTCGCTGTCAGCAGTCACCAAAGAAAGTCAATTAATACCTAAATCCTATTCAAGTCAATTCAATTCAATTCTATGTCAACTATAAATGGTTTTATACTTATTCACAAGCTTTTAGGTCTTCAAAAATCGGGTCGGGTATATACTAAAATGGTTTTTCGTGAAATCTATTTTAATATCCGGGAGAGTATAATGTTGATGGCTCGAGGTAGAGTATTTATTGGGCTACGGTGACTCGTTTGTAATAGTCCAAAAATAAAAATAATTATAAAAAAATATTACATTAAATAAATAAATAAAACTGAGAATTTTCTTCGACTTCGACCTTGAGGCATGGAAATTTCTTGGTCGTGGTTCATATCAGAATATCTCAAGGCAAGAACATTGTTTGAGATTCGAATCACTCCACAAGTGAGATCGATCATGTCTAACTTGAATGATTCTTATTAATCAAATATCTCAACGCAAAAACACTTGTTTAAGATTCGAATCACTCCACAAGCAAGACTGATCATGCCGAGCTTGAATGATTCTGCATGCAACCTAAACTACATAGAATTGCAAAGAAACTTAGCTATTAGCTAAAAAAGAGCACAAGTAACTAAAAAGGTCTTAAAATACATTAATGAAATACAATAACTCAAATTGTAATCTACCCAAAATTTATAACATGAAACTTCATTGTTCTTCAACGTGCCATGAATTGAAATATCTTTGGATAATTTCAACAATATTTTCTTCACATCTTCATTTAAGCATATTGTATGATTGATGTCTCTTGATTCATATCATTATGCCTCTTAAATTGTATGTATACAACATGATATGAATGACATGAAATCACGATAAATGACATGAAATATAACCCCGTTAGAATTATGTATGATATGAGAATCGAATAATGAGAAACGATATGATATGAATGATGAACGATATTTGAAACAAGATATAAAAAACGATATGATATGTACAGAATGCTAGCGGGGTTCTATTAAATGATAATGAAAACAAAAAAATGTTGGGATCTCATGCATTATGTGCGCTCATGCATTGGGGGATATCCCTATTCCATCATGAGGGTACGGACGCGTACATCTACTAGGCAAGCGAGGTATCATTATGTTTTACATAATACTGCCCTGACGGTTACTAATTCTAATGGGTGTTGGCAGAAAGAGAGCTACCAGAGAAGGCTCGTCCAACAAAAAAAGAGGTCCAGCAGTGTGCAAACTGTCTGATGAGCTCAGACCCGCACATATGGGCTATGTGTAGAGTATATGGTACATATCCAAGCTTCCATTAGAATAGTGTCATACGAAAAATAAACTAATATGATAAGTCCCATCCTTGCATTCAAATGTTATTGCATTTAACCCCCAATAGTGGGGTCACTTACGGATCATTTCTTAAAATACTAAAGTCACGTGCTACCTCTATTTTAGGTTAAGGCAAGATATTCCTGTACGGCCGACGACGACATCGCAACTTGAGACCATGACACATGCATAAGGTAGTCGTATTATTTTCTTAGACTTAGGCTAGAATATGATATTTTTTATTTAAACGTTTATTTGGTTTATTTAGTCTTTTATTGTATGATTTTTAAAAGTGTTTTCAAACGCGCAAGTCTATGACAGCGTTTTAAGCTGAAGTGTTATATTTTATGAAGTCGTATTATTTTCAAGTTATGTTTTATAAAAGTTTAAATGAAGTATTTCCATATTCATTGTTTATGATATGGATACACTAACGACCTTAAATTAAGTAGAAAATTTTGGGTCATTACACTATTTCGCTTTACCAATCCTAGGGAAACTTCGAATTCAAGCCCGGGTCATTTGTACATATTTATATATTAAATTAGTTATTGTTTATGATAAAAAATATTAGTTTTTACAACTAGGTTAAAAGTTATTTACTCTTCTTACTCCACTTATTTATTCTCGAACTTGAATAATAAACTCGGTAAAGCAGCTTCAATTTCATTGCTGGATTTTTCTCGTCCTCTTTCTTCTTAATACTTCTTTGTCATGAAAACTCCTTTCGCCAAACAAAGAAAAAGTCGGACAAAAAGAGTCTTCAAATTATGATTTAGTTGAGACTAATCTTTTTACGTTGGCAATTGCTTCTCTTATTTGAATTTTCTTCTTGTCATCCATGGGATACTTCCGATTAGGGGCTGCCTCGCTTTTCGGAGCTAGGAGCAGCTCACACTATGGCGGAGGAGGATGTAGCGAACCATCCCACAGTCCGTGTAGTCGCCCAAGGTCAGGGATGCTACCCTCTGTCTGTGCTAGCTCTGTTGACTATCTGCATGATCGACGTCATTTCACAAGATGAATCCATTGCGCAAGGTAATCTAACCAAACTCACTGTCAGGTCACACATCCCTAATTGGCCTCACGCCTAGCTCGATGATACCGTATCACAGCAGAAAAGGAGGTGGAAGCTCTACAAACACAGACTGTTATCGGCCTATAGGGTACCTTTATTTTTCTCTAGAATTGTCGTACTGGTTTTCCAAGTCTCTAGGGCATTGATACGGTTTAAATTTCATCTCTCGTTTCCAGGATGTCCGAGGTTAGCTCCTTAGAAAAACCAATCTCTAGGAGTACACTGGTCTAAATCTTTGATCGCTCACGATTTTGGAGTGCAAGGTCCACGGGAAACGTACTGACCTGGGTCAACACGTAAATTGCCCTAATTGTTGTACAAACCTCCAGAGGACGAACTGCAGTGGAAATGTGAAGAAATGACATTGGAATCACCAGAGATCTCGTCGGAATCAAACGAGAATAATCTAGGGTTTCGCTCTCTGCGATTTCGGGTGAGGAAGAAGGAACGTCTCGGATCTGGGTTCAGATCTCGACCCGCTTGCAATCTCCAATCCAGATGTCTCAGCCCAATGGCCCAACCTTTTTCAATTACCCAGATGGTCCGTAGCCCACGCCATCGCCTAGCATTGTCACTAGCAGCCCAAGCCCAAACACAAGTGGGAAGGCTGACCCGTGCGACGATCCGACACCCACACCCGACCCGATTATGACCCGTGCACATGACCAACGCGTGCCCTAACTCAGCCATGATTTATAAGCAGCTAGGATTCAACTCGCGCGACAGCTTGCTCCGGCTCGGCTTCTTGGCTTAGACGGCTCAGTATACAAATTCTAGGTTTCTAATCCTCCTCGAGCCATTTTGGCTTTATTTAAGTGTCAGTAAGACTCCTATTTATATTGGAATTAATGGTTAAGTTATTATTAGGCCCTACCTAAGTGTTAAGAAATAGAAATAGAAAATAGAACTGGAAAAGTGTATGATCTTCATTCAGGTTTACCACGTTTAAATAGATACAAACTATTAACTAATACCTAAAAATAGAAAAAAATAATATATCTAACTAAATCTTGTAAATAAATAAAATATACAATTAATCAAATTTATACTAACAACTCCCTAAATATCTCAGATATATTCTAACTAATATATCTCCAAAATATCCTCTCAATACTAAGTCATATGAATTGTTATAGGTGAGAATTAGGTGTTCGTAATATAGTTTCGAGACGACCACCAAATTGTTAGTGATTTCGGCCAAGACCAACCAAGTTAGTAACCTTACTATTAGAGATAGTTAATTGATTGACATATGATGTTGCATGCCCCGTGGTTCCTACATGTACTATATTAAAAGTGTAATACTTATATTATGTGTGGCTTATATGTTCTTTGTATGGTCATGTGATGTATGTGATGTATACAGGTTAAATCCGTTGCACTATATTACGAATGAACTGAAATGTCATGTGTGGAATGTTATGTCCTACAAGTAAAGTTATGTGATGGATTTACTTGATGTTTACCATGTGTATGTGTAGAAAGGAGAGAGGAAATTAAATAAATGTTAGGTTATGAGTGAAAAATATGAGACCTCATGTATGTATGTATGTCATGTGCATCGAAATACTTTCCCATTATGTTATGTTAGTACAGACGTGTATGTTCGATATTTACATGATATCATACGAGTCTTTCCTTCTTTGCTACGTCCAATGATGTGTAATACATTAAGTCCGATTAAGTCAGACCCATGGAGTACATATACTAGCCTGTCTGGTGGGTCCATGTGCACGTATTTGTGCTCTGTGTGGAGAAGTACCATACACCCAATCCTGCTTGGAACTCGAAAGAGCTTAAGGTTGTGTTATATTTTTAAAAGATAGGTCTCATTTATGTATCGTATGTGATTACATATTTTACTTAAGATAGCTTTTAGACTAGATTATTTTATTTAAAATTTCACGTTATTTGTTTTTCGATTTATTATTTAATTCTTTTTATTATGAATATTTAAGCCTATTACATCAATTATGAAATATTTTAAGTAAATGTTTTTGTAATTAAGAGGGATAGAGTAAACACTATGTAATTTCAAAAATATTATATTTACATCTTTTTAATATTTTAAATATAATTTTGTATTTGAAATTTCAAATTCATAATATGCTACATAAAGAGTAAAAACTCTTTGAATGACGTATAGATTTCAAATATTAGAATATCTTTGAGGTCACAAAGATTTTGAAGTTGGAACGTGCAAGATATTGATCAATTCAAGCTGGTAGATATTGTCCGCTTTGATCTGTCACGTATCGCTTTCAGTCTCACGATTTTAAAACGCATATGTTATTGGAATCGATAAGGGTTCTCACAAATCCACCTCCCTTGGGGGACCAACATCCTCATTGACACACCTCAGTGTCTGGCTCTGATATCATTTGTAACCGTCCAAACCCATCGCTACCAGATATTGTTAATTTTGACTGGTTATGTATCGTCATTAACTTCATGGTTTTAAAATGCTTCTATTAAGAAGAAATTTCCACCCTTCTAAAAAAAAATGTTTATGAAGATAAAAGAGATAAATATGAAGTTTATGAAATATGGCCATAAGATTGAAAATGGGTTTAATCCGTCCCATTTTTATAACCCTATGAAAGAATTTTGGCATGCGTAAGAACTTGTAAAAATAACTTTTGATGCTATTTTACATTAAGCGTCGTGGCAGCCATTTTCATTTCAAACAAAGCATTCTCAAAGCACTTAGCAAGAAATTCCGGGTCATGAATGATATCTTTAGCCACAAGAATTTGCATATCAGCTCTTCCAGCGTAGCTCATCATATGCATCGTTATTGCCTGCATCAAACCGTTATTAATCGTTGTCGTTAATTATGATAAATAAACTTACAAGAACATGTGGAGGAAGTACATGAGGCAAGCTTGTTGAAGTAGCTCTAATATATGTAATGGGATTGCCTCCAACACTAATCTCTTCTTTTGGACCAATTACGTTTGAGATTGTGAAACTTGTGTTGCACATAATCCTATAATTAAGGATGCAAGCTACCTGCAATCAAAATGTGTTGGAAACATTAATGAAAGGAAACTAATTTATTTGAATCAAAATGAGCGTTGGTTTAGTATTTCAAACATGAAATGCTTACCTTTGCTCCCAACCACGACATTACAAACTTACCAATTCCATATGAAAAATATGATTCAAGACTACGTTTCTTACGGTCAATCATCTTCTTTGTTCTCTTCATATATTGAAGAGGGTCGGACATTTTCTTATGATAGTATACAGGAAGGAGAAGGATCCCTAGCTTGTTTCCCCATCGAGATCCATTATTTCCCTTCATCATATCAGCTAAATCCTACACCATTTACATCATGAAGAGTTAACGAACATGAACGAAAAAATCATCGAACAAGTTCAAAGGAATAACCGACATAACCTGCAACCCTGGTTGTTCTCTAAGATTAATCATGGCTACCCCCGTTAACTGAAGTCCTTCTTTCAAACCTACCCATAGAAGGTCCAACATGTTCGACAATTAATCATTTTAATTCAGATTCCAATGAAAGTATGAGAATTTGAGCCTCTAACTTTAAGAAAACAAGTACATATCTCTATAGTTTAGGATAGATTTAGAGTTTTCGGAGGAGGGACAAAGAAATTACTGTTGGGTTGCCTGTGCTCCAAGTATCGGGATAAGCCTGCCCCTATCACGCTAAAAAGAACGTCATTTATCGTCTGCAACCACAACTTCAATATTAATAAGGGCTAGTTTTGCAATTTAATAATAAATCTTAAATTTATTTTAATTTAGTTTCTCGAACTTTTTAGAATATATTATATTTTAAGAAAAATTAATTTAGTTATAAATATTATTAATCTGGGTTGGTTGGCTATCACTTTCCTTTATAATTATTATAATTATTATTTTCCATTTTTGGGAAAAAATAAATACTATTTTCTTATGTCAATTTTATTTCCATTATTATTAAAAGATAAAGGACATTGATATATACTGCTTATAAATAATCAAAATATTTGCTAAACTAAAATAAATATGTATGGATTTTAAATTTTTAAAAAGTTTAAAATTACATTTATAATTAATATATTTCTAAAAAATATTCATGCATTTTCTAAAAACAATAAACATTTTTTATAATTAAAATTAATAGTAAGAATATATTTTTTAAGCGAGCATTTTAAAGATGTAATATAATTTTATTAAATTAATCATAAAAATTAATTTTTTTCCTTAAAAAAATATTTTTTAATCGGAAATAAAAAAGTTATATTCAACATACCATAAAATCAAATACCAAAAAAGAAGAAAAAAAGGCAAAAATCCAATGAAATGAGAGCCAAAAAAAAAATTAAAAATAAATAAAAAAACTCGCTATAAATATAAAAAAATAAATAAAAGATTTAATTTAAACCACCCGAAAATAAATGGTTAAAATTCTTTGAAACAGAAAATAACAAACAGAAATTAAAAATAAATAAATAAATAAACGCTTAATGACAAATTTCAATTAATTTTGACTTACAGCGTTAGAAACAGCGTTCTTAACCGCTTTCATATCCTCCACCGCGAACTTGGCCGTCGCTACTTTCCTCGGCCATAGCTCCACCCCATCGCCACCGGAGATCGGCGTTTTCCGGTCAGAAACCCAAAGCGCCCTCAATATAAACTCTCCCACAAACAAGAAGCTAAACCACACCGTCATCAACAACGCCAGAAGCATCTTCGGTAATTCCTCCGCCCACCTCTTCTGCCTCGCTTTCCTCGCCGTCTTCGAATCCGAAACGATCGTCGGCAGCGCGTCCGGATCGTCGGCTCGCCGGCAACATGTCAAAAACAGCGACATCAACGAGATTCCATCGCCGAGCGCGTGATGGATTCGGAAAATAACGCAATTGTGCGCCAAAAGTAAATGAATCTCCCAAAGAGGCTTATTGATATCCATCGTCGAAGAAGTCGATAAATCAGCCAAATAATCGTTGACCGCGTTCTCGTTGCTTGCTCCGTCGTCCGATACAGGATCGGAAACGACGATGACGTGGCGGTCGACTTCTATTGAAGTCCTCCGCCAGTATTCAACGCCGTTCGGATCGCGAACTAGGAGGCTCGAAAACCTAGGGTGCTGGATCATTACGGAATCGGCGATTTGAGATTTGATGGAATCGACGTCGATTGAGTTCCGAAGTCCGATGACGCAGTGGATAATCTGGTTGATTTCAGGACGGAGAAAGAGGCGGCCGGCCGGCGTAAGTGGCTGGTCGCTTTCGAGCTTGGAGGAACTCGTCATTTTTGGGGGAAAATCAAATAGAGATCGAAACGGAATTGGAAGAGGCGATTTGAATCAAGTTTAGTGGAAAATCAACTTTATCAGATAGAGAGAAGAGCTTGTTGAAGGTGGACGTTCCATGAAAATGGCGTTCCAGAGGTCAACGTCAGAGGAGGAACGTTAAGGCGACGATGCTCCAGAGAGGACCCGTGGACCTCTTTTATTTCTCATCTTTCTTTTATTTTATTTTTTATTTTATTTAATCAATACTTCCCGTTTAGGGACGATCCTTTAATCGATTGGGAGGAGAACGAGTGTCAACACGGACACTGGACATCGAAGGGGTAAATTGTGAGATCCACTTCGATTAGAGAGGAGAACTAAACATTTTTTACAAATGTGTGAAAACTTGATGCATAAACTTGAAGGGAAAGGGTCAATAATACCATATCGGTTAGCAAGTGAGGTTAGGTCATTGCACAAATATTATATTTCTCCTGTCAAATGATGTTGAGAATCCAAATCACTATGATTAGCATCATCGAGAACGATTCTCATCCACAAGTTCTGTAGGAGCTAATTTTGTTGTCATTTTAAAGAGAACAAAAAATCGAAAGGTTGAATACGATTGCGTAGATAGTTCATTACGTCTTATCATATGCGTCCAATTGATTTACGTGTTCAAAAACATCTTTAAAACGACATAACAAAAAACTAAATAAAATAAATAAATGTTTAAATTAAAAATATTATATTCTAGTCTAAGTCTAAGAAAATAGATGTGACTACCCTACACATGTGTCGTAGTCTCAAGTTGTGATATCGTTATTAGCCGTACAAGAATGTCTTGTCTTTAATTGAAGTAGAAGTAACATGTGGCTGGCTAGTATTTTAAGAAATACTTAGTAAGGAACCTCACTATTAGAATTAAATGCAAACACATACACGACTATTGAAGTTAAATGTAAACACATACAATTTCATGAATGAGATATCATATAAGTCTATATTCCTTAGGCGACTATGTTAAGCGGGCTAATTAGATAGTGTATTTTCTGTTCTACAAAGTCCACACGTGGAAGTATGGACCAACTAGTTGGCTTGCACACCCTTTATAGTTCATTTATTTTATTTGTCCTTTGGTTCACACACCTCCTAGGGTTTTAAGGTGAAAGTTTGGTACACACACCTTCATTTATTGCATAACTGCTGTTGTTCATTTATTTTATTTAGTTCTTTGTTGTGTTGTTTTAAAGATGTTTTTCGAAAATATAAGTCCATGACTCTATTTTAAGATAAAAGTTTCCACATTCAATGTTCATGATATCTATACACTAACGACCTTAGATTAAAAGGTTGTTTCAAAAAGTGTACTCTCCAACTAACTCAAACAGTTTAGGCCAACTTCCTCCACCACTTCCCACGTTTAGTAAAAGTATTATTATTATTATTACAACAAAATTAACCAATAAAGAAAAAAAAAAAGACCTCGCCAAAAAAATCGGCGCCCACACCTATTTTCAACAAAATAAAAAATGGACAACTTTTCTTTAAATGGTTTGATTAAATAAATTAAATTAAGCAGTTAATTAAGTCGGTGGTATCCAGTGAATATGATATTATGACAAACATATAATCTCATTTATATAAGCAGTTAAGTTAGGTAAGAAGTAGGATTATTGAAAGAATTAGGTGGATATTTCTAATATGGTGGAATACGTCCACATCGGTTGATACCAATTTCAAGGGACAAGTCAAGTAAATCTCAGAAATAGGATAGAACACCAACTAAGGTCAACCAAGTAAGTGACCTTATTATCGGCTCGATCGAAAGACTTAATATATGTATGATGACATATGCCTAGTGTCCCTTGTACGTGTCATGTAGACTTTTATAATATGATGATGATGTGAAATTATGTGATATAATGATGTGATGACGTTGTGACCTTAGATGATGATGATGTGACTTTTTATGATATGATGATGTACTATGTGATAATGCATTATACGTTATAGTCTTTAAGTTAGACTACATTTTCTTCTCTTAATTTGAATCTTGCATTTGAATTCTTGAACAACCAAACTTTTAATCTTTTAGTCCTTTGACCACGACTTAATTGTACTAGTCCACTGCTACTAGATATTGTTCTTTTTGGGTTTTCCTTGCGTTTTCGTTCAAGGTTTTTAAAACACATATGCTAGGGAGAGTTTGGGCTTACTTGGAAGGCTTTCCCCTTCCGAGTTTCCCAAAAGGTTTTTAAAACATGTATGGTATGAAGAGGTTTTCACACCGCTATAAAGAATGTTTTGTTTCCTTCTCTTTGGGGCCCAACGTCTTCACTAGCAGACTTGATTTGGAGGAGGAAAATAGAATAAATATGTCAAGATATTTCTATATCCTCGATAATTTGACTATAGGGTTGCTCATCAATGGAGTCGTCTTGCTTTAAATGACATCATCAAAATGATGAATCTATGGTTGAATTGAATTTTGAGGAGTAGATTCACATCAATACCAAAAATAATTAGTAGCTCCGGCGTAGGATGTAAGTAGTTTTACTATGGGCTCAACCGTTGATATATCGGGCCCAGCCATCAAAAACTCGGCCCAACATATTACTATTAACAAGTTTGAGCCCAATTTTAAAACCAAGCCCACTAGAGGTAGAGAAAAACGGTGCGTTTTCGGCCCAATAGTGTAGCGTCCCAAAGCCCTAATCTGTCTTCCCATATAAATAGTTCGCTTCGATTTTTCTTTGCCCACTCTCAGGACTCTCTCTCTCAGAGCTCTAGGGTTTTTAGCAGGGGGCGAACCAGGTAAAGTACCAGAACTCGGATAAAATGGCTTCTCCGATCGAGTCGGTTCAGTGTTTCGGCCGTAAAAAGACGGCGGTGGCAGTGACCTACTGCAAGCGCGGTAGGGGTTTGATTAAGATCAATGGCTGCCCAATCGAACTTGTCGAGCCGGAGATCCTTCGTTTCAAGGCTTACGAGCCAATCCTCCTCCTTGGACGACACAGGTTCTCGGGAGTCGACATGCGTATCAGAGTGAAGGGTGGAGGTCACACTTCGCAGATTTATGCCATTCGTCAGAGTATTGCCAAGGCTTTGGTCGCTTTCTATCAGAAATACGTGGACGAGCAGAGCAAGAAGGAAATCAAGGACATCCTTGTTAGGTACGACAGGACTTTGCTCGTCGCTGATCCCCGACGCTGTGAGCCCAAGAAGTTTGGTGGTCGTGGAGCTCGTGCGAGGTTCCAGAAATCTTACCGTTGAATCAAATATGCATTTCGGAAACGGCTTCGTTGGGGTGGTTTTTTTGTTTCGGTTCTTTTTTATGCTTTTGAATTTACTAGAGTTTTTTGTGTTGCAACTCTTTTATCTGTTTTCTGATAAAATTAGATGTTTTATCGCAACTTTTTTTTTTTTTACTCTTTTTCTATGATATTATTGGGTATCAGAATGCTCTTAGTTAATTGGAAACATGGATTAGAAATGCGGTCTGAATGAATGGCATTACTCTTCTTTCGAAGTTCTGTCACTCTGTGTTAGTTCGTGGGCTCAGCTGTTGGTTTTGATTGGAAAACGCCTTCTGGTTGTTTCGCTTATGATGCGTTTTTGTTCCATTTCACCACTTGGGCCATCTTCTTTTTCTTGAAATTGCTTGTGATTTATGTTTATTGATTATTTAACCCTTATTCCTGATATCGTTGAATCATGAGTGATCCCTTTTTATGTGAAATTTGGCTATCATTTCCACCTCTCTGGGCTAGGATTGATTTTGATCATTGTTAAAACTTGGCAACTAAGTTATGCTCAGTTTTTATATTATGAGACATTTAGACAACTCTTTCTGCCATGTTGTAGCTGAATAATCATGTAGTATTTGTTCTTGTTTGGATAACCTGCTTGCTAGTAATATATTAGTCATTAGGCAACACTAAATAGAATTAGTTTGAAGATGGTTCACACTGCTGAAGCACTGAATTCATGTTCTATTTAGTTTTGTGCTTGGATGAAGAAGAGTGTGGTATGCTAAGTTATCCGGTTGGCAGTAACATTATAGGATCAAGGAAAGAAGATTTCAATAGAATGAAATCTAGTCTACTTATTTAGATCTATTTACATATGATTATGTCTTATTTTATTCCTAGAACTTTCATGGTCTTCTATTTTTGTCTTTATACTCTTAACTGCCTTGCATTACTTCCACCTATTTTCTCTGGATAATGGGTAATGTTGAATTTGGTTTTTTGTGTTGGGTTGGGTTGGGTTGAATTTTTGGAAAATTGAAAATTTTGGATGATCGTGGATTGAATTTGGTTTAAGCAATAGAGGAGGAAGTTAGTAGACAGATCTTGAGTGACTGAACTCGGAATTCATACCTGTTTCATTTCGGTTCAAACCTTCTCTCAAATCTTTTCCCTCTCCCATATTGGAATTTAAGCTTCATCCCTAAAGTAATCGCTGCCCTATTGATTCTTCTCGATTACCTTGTTTAAGGCTCTAATGTATCCGTCCTAATATGAATCAACTACCCACTTGTTTTCTTCCCACATTTGAATGATTGATTTGTATCCGTCCTAATATGAGTCAGCACCATGTGTTCAAGTTCCTCTCTAGATCTTAATTCTCTGGCTCATAACTTTGTTTTAAATCCTTCTCTTGAATGTCTTTGATCTTTCAAGAGGGTTTCTGTGTGGTTTTTTTTGGGAGAGTTTGATGGAGAACTTCACAATTGAGAGAAATTGATTTATTTACTTAAAAAAAAAGAAAAGAAAAGAAAAAAAAAAGGAAATCAAAGAATATCCCATTGATTAAAGACATGGGTAAACGAAGGAGTCTAAAAAATGAGGATGAGAAAATGACATCCATGTTGCCATTAATATAAGCTTTGATTAAGCCTACAAGGTGTGCGCCCACCACAACAAGCAGTGATTAGAGCTCACCACGTGAAACTAACACGGCCTAACTTGATTCGTCAAATAAAAGGGCACTAGTATTGCGATCTTAAAATGACTGAGTTTCTTTTCAGTGTGGTTCAATTATAAAAACTTTATGATTGAACATGTTTTACTTGAATCAATTCTATGTTGGTTGACTTTTTAAGATTTTATATGAAATAGTCTTCACTCTTTCAGAATGAATTGGTAACGTGAGCATGTCGTATAGGGAATCTCGAATGCATTAGATGTCGAATTTAAATTCTAGGATCTTGATC